GATAACGGACGATTACGCCACTGTTTATGTTCGTTCGCGCAGTTTTCGATGAGTCATATCATTCTTAACTTGGACGGAAATGAAATTTGTTACAACGTTGCACTTAGTCTTTCATATTTGTTGTTAGTAATTTAAAAGACATTTTGAAACACATACGGAACGATAATAATTTTTTAAAATATAATAACACAAAAATGAAAAGGGAACTCGGGTACACATCTATCGAGAGCCACAAATAATCCTTCAAAGAGCTGCATGTGGCTCGCGAGCCGCAGGTTGGCCACCTCTGGTGTGTATATATATATATTATTGTTATATAACTTTAGTAGAAATTTTAAAATAAAAATGGTTATATAAAACATGTATATTTGTAAATTTAGATGAAAAATCTATAATTATTTATTTAGGACTATAAGCATTTAATCTGAATTTTAAAGTAATTTGATAATTATTTATTCTGTATTTTTTAAGGAGTTAGTCCCGGAAAATCAATCATTATCAAATCTTAAGTCGGTGGGTTTTGACATAGAATGTTACAGTATTATTGGAAACATAACAAATGTAACTTTTATCAAACTGTGTTTTATCGCAGTCTCTTCGGAGTACGAAACATTCTCAGAAAATACATCGGAGAGATCATGTGGCCAAAATTTTGAGGTAATCACATGACCAAGTGGCATCGAAGAGGGGTCACGATACATTTTGTAAAGGTCTGCCATCAGCAGATAATCCACAACAGAAATGAACTTAAGCAAACAGCAAGAATACCGCAGAGTCGGTAATTAGTCTACAGTTTTTAGTTTATATTGTTTTTTTATACAGGTTGGTGACAGAAGATTATGCATGTTTTGGAAATGTCTATCAAATGTGTCTTAAAAAAAATAATTTACAAGAAAACACATAATGGTAAGAATCTATAGTTTTACAAAACCCATTGGTTCTATTCTGTTAACAGGATGCCAGTTGTAACTTTAATCCGACAGGCAATACCATCGTCCGCTAAGACTATCGCGTTTAACTATTTAGCCCACGTGACTGCGCCAGCTTTGAGTAGCACACTCGACCGTTCGTGAAGTACTCGACATTATATAGTTTTAGAGTTTTCCCCCGCAAGCGCTATCGCCCCGAGTGCGAGCGATAGTGAGCACCAATGCACACGTAAAACAGGCAGAATACCAATACATGTTAAAAACTGACCTTTAAGGTCGAATACCCGGCAAAGGGACAATTTTCGGAGTGATGCGAAACTCCTCGTTCGGAGCCGTTGCCGTTCATATCAGTGGCGTACCATTAACAGAAAAGTGCCAAACCATTCCCACAATGTATTTATTTCTTTTTATGCAATTTAAATGTATTTCCATCGCCGACAGAGCGAGAATACACGCCCCAGTAGCCCAGTACCAAAACTAATCTTGTCGCAGATTCTATCCCCAAGTACCTGGCAAACCATTTTTAAAAATGCATTACCTGTGCCTCCTTAGTGGTGACAACTTGGCCTTCATTGCCATCAGATGCAGATCCTGATTTATCATTTAAAGCATTGATCTTTATCTAAACATGAAAAGAAAAAGAAACGTTTCGTTTGAAATTATATATTTAATAATTAAAAATTAATCAATTTAAGTACCATTTTATAAGAATTTCTTCAATCTTCTGCAGCACATTCTGCTATAATTCATCAAATATTTCTCCTTAAATATTAAATGCATGTTAAATTTATGAGCATTATAAAAGATAATACGTATAAAAACGAATTTATATTTTAAAAAGAAAAATGAAAGAAAAAAAAAAGTTTTAATAATTACAAAAATGATTTTTTATAGATTTATAAAACAAAAACAACAGGAATCCATTCTTCCCCTTCTCGTCCTAAAGACCCACCTGGTGAGAGAAAATATATTGGATATTTAATACTCTAATTGATGCTAATATGGATGAGTTTTTCTCAAAAGTAAATGTACTGATTATTATTATTATTATTTAATAACTGTGCAGTTTAATACATCATTAATTGATATTTTTGCGTTGCTAGAATATCTAGACCCGTTTCAAGTTGATCGGTTAATTAAGGGTACGTTCGTAAAGTCGAACGAGTTAAACGAGAATGACGTCATCGTTATTGTTATTTCGTTAGACTTTTCAAACGATTCGTTTAGAACTAAATGGCTGTTTCTAAAATCGAAGATACAAATGTTGCTAGTACAGCCTTATCCGAAATATTTTTCTTAGATTGCTTCGGGTGGACAGTTACTTCAATCATTTCATCTTTTAATTCACAATTTAAACACTCGAGTAGATTTAGAAACATCGATATCGTCGGGCGCCATTTTCTTAACGAAGTAAACNTTGGACAAATGCTGTCTGCTACTTGGGTTACGTATTCACTTAATAATCTTTTTGTGTTTTCAATCTGATTTTTCGTTTATTATATAAATCATCAGATTATACACATTTTCTTTTGCAGGAGTATGGGGATGGATGACCGCCGACGGTCCCGGTGAATTGGTTAGAATAAACGGTAACCTAACAGCGAAACAATACATTAAAATATTGAAAAACACTTTCATACCATCCCTAAAAGCGTTGGAGCCATCGATGAAGGTGCCATTTGTGCAAGACCGATCGCCGATCCACACGTCAAAAGTAACGATGAATTGGCTAGAGACGCAAGAAAGATTAGAATTAATCGATTGGCCGGGTAGAGGAGCCGATCTGAATCCCATAGAAAATTTGTGGGCGGAATTGGTTAGAGAGCCGCTTTATGCCACCACACCCGATGCATTGTGGGAGGAAGTATGTCAGCGTTGGAATTCCTTACGTGAAAGAAACATCTGCGAAGTTTTGGTCAACAGTATGCCAAAAAGATTGGAAAAGGTTATAGAGAAAGAAGGCTTCTGGACCAGATATTAATCATCTTTTAATATTTGTGTATGTGCAAGTAGATAATTCGTGACTGGTAGTAATTGTCTGAAGGTTAACTTTAAATATTGTAGATACTTTTTTATTTAACTGTTTTAGCCTGTTGTCTGTTTTGAGTTACAACATATGAACTGTTTAAAGCTATATGTAATTGTCTATAATTCTGTATGCAAACCAGTTTTTTAAAACATTCTTGAAGAAATCACAAATATGTTTACAGTGGCGTGCTGTCCACGGAAACTGGAAAAGCCGCTTCTCTTGTATTTTCTAAAATACGTATTGTGCGATTATTTTCATATTTTAATGTAGTTTGAATTAAAATTTATATTTTATTATAAACCGCATTATGTATCTTATTACAAATTTCTGTTTCTACATATAGAGAAATTTTTATATGTGGAAAAATTTGATTTTTTTTTAAATTCATAAATTAATGCAAAGAGGTTTTAATTTTCGCATGTACACTTATTGTTCTTTGGGCTTCTTTCGAAAATTATTTAATATCGGGGGTTAGTCTGTCTCAAATATGTCGGGACTCATCATCTGGACACTCCCTATTGTTGTTCGGCCAGGCCCACAATAGGTTCAAGCTAATGAGAGGTGGGAATAATTAGTCTTCAAAAATGTGTTTTTAGTAGTCCAGCTGCAAACACATCTTTCATAAGGCTGAGTTAATAAACTCGGCTTAGATATCGTGTAAATCGGCCGACCATATTTCTACACGATGTTGGTGTAAATAACTTCTTGACTGGATTTCTGGGATGTCCTTGTGTGAAATAGTTGCTGTTTTTCCTTCGAAGAAATATTGCGTATTATTATAATAAATCTTAATACACAAATGCTAAACGGTGTCTCGTTTCACAAATATTATGCTGGAGATTGAAATTGTTAAAAATTACTCTCAGTAAAGTTGGAGTCCGAAACAAAAGTAAAATATAATATTTGGTAGCAGATTATGTATTATGAAAAAAAAAACACGTTCTTTTATGTTAATCTTGATAAAAAGTTGAACAAAAGATGGTAGTTGCTTATTTTTCGGCCTATATTGAATAAGGTTCTAATACAAACAAGTCATTTTGTATGCAAAGTATTCGCCAAAAGTACTTCATTGTAGATAACTTTTTCGAGGTAAGATTTAGAAAAAGACGCTCGATTAAATATTCTTCTTAAGCAAAAATTTATTTAAAAATGAATTTAAATACAAAGATTTAATTCTAAAAACAAAAAAATTTAACATTACAAAAACCAAAAGTAAAACGATACAGTGAAAAACTTCGTAAAAACCTAAATTTCTCGAAAAACAAACAGGAAGAAAGTTTTTTAAAAAAAAAAAGGAACCAAAAAGAAAAATTCAGTTCTTTTTTAAAAATGCTTTCATTTTTGTTTTGTAGATGATTTTTTATCAGAACTTTTTGATTCCGATGGATTTTTCTTTGAAGCATTCGTCTTTTTTTCCGATGTCTTCGTATTTTGTTTCTTCTTAGGTTTTTCTTTGCTTTCAGCTTTAACATCTTTAGAAGCTGATGCTGCAGCAGCAGAAGCAACTGGAACTTTTTTCTTAGAGCTATCCTTCTTTATTACTTTCTTTTTCTTTGGAGATTTGCTTGCAGGCAGTTTCTTCGGCTCTCCGTCTTCTTTCTGCAATTTTTTCTCCTCTTTTTTAGCCACTAATTTCCCTTCTATGCTTTTAGAATTTATTTCTTTAATTATTTTCTTCTTCTTCTTTTTTTTCTCTGTCGACTCTGCCAGTTTTATCGGGGGTGATGCTAGTTTTTTCCCGGTTACCAGTTTTTTCCCGGTTACCAGTTTTTTCCCTGTTGCCAGTTTTTTCGGTTTAATTGTCTTTTTTGCTACAAGAAAACTTCCAATGGCTCCAACTAACTCATTGGATGCTTTTGGTCTAATTAAAACTCCCGTAGAGATTCCTTTCTTCAACGACAGTTTCATACGATATTTTAGTTTCTCTGGATCTATTAGATATTTATCTAAAAAACAAAAAATAATATCTAACAGACAAATATAACGACAGAAAAATAAAAAAAACAACACTTACGAAGTATCCATTTGCGGATAGCTTGTACAGAAGCACCTTTCTTTTTGTCACCTTAATATTGAACAAAAAGAATTTATGAAAATATGAAGGAAAAAAATTAAAATTTATCATCTCAATTGCATAAAACCTATAAATAAAATGTCACCTATGGCATTTACTGCTTCGCAAATCATTTTTAAAGTGTCCGGAGGCACTAATCTTTGAATAGGAAGACGATCATCAGAGTTGGAGGCAACGTTGTTGGTTGTAGATTGGTTTTCTACCGATTTAACGTTTTTAGAGGGTATTGGAGTTGAAGAATTAATATTTTTCTCCGTTTTATCTTGAGAATTCTCCTTACGTTCTTCATCGCTTTCGTTAATCTCTGGTTCAATAACAGATTCAAGAGCGAGAACAAATTGATCGGATTCTTCGTTTTTCTTAATTGTCTCTTTCTTCTTTATTACCATTTTTTAAAATTTCTATATAAAGAAGCTAAAAATATTCTTAAATCTTTATAAATGTTTTTTTAAAAAAAATCTACAAATATAAATGTCCTTACCGACTAAACTCTACGCTCTTATAACACTAAATCACTCCCTCCACATGCACGGTAATTATGTAAATTATGTGATTTACGTACTTAAAATTATAAATTTAGATATTAATTTTAAATTGTAAGTTAAAAATTAATCGTTATAATAAATAAATTGCCTCGTACATTTTTTTTATATTAATTAATTATAATAAGCGAGAACACGAATATAAAATTTTATTTTAAATTTAAAAAAAAAGACATTGATTTTATTTTTTTTATTAAAAAAGTAATAAATTAATTAATAAAAATATGATCACTTTACGTCAATTTGACGTCATTATATTTAACCATAATCGTAAATGACGACAAATTGACGTAAGGTGTACTCCGCCATTTTGGTAATATCATTTCAATTCGGCTTCCAAATTATGACTTCGTACGCAACTTCAGCGATTTCTCTGATTTCTTTATCCGGATCAGACAGCAAATGGCGTATCTAAATTATTAGTAAAATTAAATTAAATATTATTTATTATTTTATCCATTTTATAGCTATACTTATTTACTACACAATACATAACAACAGAAAATACTCTCGTTAATTAAAAAAAAAAGTTATATGAGCCAGATAGAACTGTGATTAATGCAAAATTCGGCATACAGCTATATCTCACTCGGGTAATTAAATGGTCTAATTGCACGCTAGGTTATGCCATTAGAGTATTTTATAATAGCTACTCCAGAATCCTATAAAAAGACTTGCAGAGGTTCACTGTGTTCACAATTTTCAGTCTGTCTTTTGTGTGGAGGTCTTTGAATGCCAGGCATGCCTGTCAAAGACATTATATAGCCTACTGCTAATAGAATTTGAAAAAAGCCACGTCTTTGAATGAGTGTAGCAAAATGGTTTAACCGCCATTTTGACCATTCTGACGTAACCGTGAGCAGATGTGGACATTGGATACATTACAACAGGCAGCTCTAGACGCCCCAGAAAGACCACCAAGACAGATGATCGTCAGACAAATACGAACAGTTGTAACGGCATCATCTTTGTCCACCATCCAGAGGCAGCTAGAAGCCTCATTGCAGAACCTCGTCTCTTCCCGTATCATTGTATGGCTAATGGCGGGGCCCTAAACGTCTTGCCATTCGCTTTCAAATATTGTCAGATATATTGACAATGGAGCCGTGAGAGAACATTTTAGAAATGCAAAGTATATTACAATACCTCTTTGATATTTTTCAAGAAGAATTCTCTTCCTGTTGGAACTTCTGCTAACATAGTAATTGCCTAAATTTTTGAACACGTCCATTAATTATTATTATTATTATTACTAAAATACATTATGTAAATTATGTAAACCTGCCTTTAGACAATTTTTGCGTGTTTCTACACTAGAATCTTCTAGTATAGATAAGAGAAGTGGAAGAGCGTTACCTTCTACAGCTTTAAACTTTCCTTTAATTATTACCGTTATCCTATTAATTAAAAATCAAGTAAATATTATCTTATTTATTACTTATAGTTTACATTTTAATACTTACATCACTAATAAGTAACATAGTTCCGTTCTGAATTCAGAATCCGTGGTTTCTTTTAGATGATTTATAACAGCATCTAATGCCTGTTCACACGCGATAGTTTTACCGAGTTCGATCGTGCTATAATTATGTATACATAAAACTTGATGAGAATTATTATAACGGCAAAAAAATAGATTAAATTATGCTTTTAAAATAAATGTATATGGCCGATAAAATTCAGTTTAAACTGAAAACATGTAGGACTGTAAGATTAATGGAATATGGCAACACAACACGAGGACGATCTGCCAAAAAGGAGTACCAACCGGGAGGACTTTCTATAAGTAACTGTCCCCTATTTAAGTGTTAAAAATATTTCGATTATATTACCATAAATCCGCCATGACGATAGCTGCCTTTCGCTTTATTACAATAGAATCACTTTCAAATAGTTCCATTATAATGGCTATAGCTCCGGCATTCAGTACTTTTTCGGTTTTAAGAGCGTTGATTTTCAAACATTCGTGAATAATTTCGAGAATAATTTCCTACAAATATATATATTTAAAAAAAATTAATTAAAAGTATAAAAAGTAACGAAAACGACAAAGTAAGAATACTTTGTTTTCATCATTTTCTTCTTTCAGTTTCTTTATCAGAATGGTGATTAAATCATGATAAACGATAGCTGCTGAACCTAAATATTTATACATTATTTATGACGATGTTTACGTAACAGTTAGTAATTCAAAATATTTATTTACCTTCTGGATTACATGATAAATTTCTAAGTGTTGTATATGCGTGTTTTCTAACGTTTTGCAACACATTATCTAATAATAGTATGGCTCCTTCAATTAAATCAAAAGCTAAAAATGCTTTCCTTCCCGCTGGTGTAACTGAAATTTACGTTCTTGAATGAATTAGATATTTAGCATCGATAATAAAAAATTATCATTGATTGAATTAAGTTTTTTTTTTTTACTTGCACCCCAATCATACTATATTTCAAACTGCGCCCCGATTCCCAGATGTGTACCATTTAATTTTTCATGAATATTTCATTCTTTATTAATGCTCGATAGAACATTTATAAAAGGAGTTCAATGCCTAATTTTACTTTTTCGGTTCCCGAAGCTCGAAAACTTCAATTGACGGCCGCATGTCCGAGCAGTTAAGGTGGTAGCTTACCGCTCTGAAGGACCTGGGATAAAATCCGGACGGATCGAAAACCTCCAGAAACTTTTTAGGGGTGGTCCGTCCAGATATGTCGGGCCACCTTCACCACCCAGTCGCCCCATTGTGGGCCTGGCCGAACCCATAATAGTCTTGCTTTAAAAGCCCTGTTAATGCCCATAGGACTGAAAACATTTTTATGTTCATAAGACCATAGATAACTGCTACGATACCTGTAATTATGCTAAGAATTTCTGCCCCTTTTGTACATATAAATTCATCCGAATCTGTCCACGTACTTTCTAAATTCTCCCGAAGCCCTGTTGGAACAACATTTTAAAAGTAAATCTATCTATAAACAGCATTCATAGCAAATAACCATTTACCTCTTCTAAGATATTGATAAGCATTTCGAGGATCATATAATAGATCACATAATGATTGCAGAGTTTTCTTCCGTGTCTCTTCGTCATTATCTTGGCACAGAACATTCTACAAAAGAATTTTATAGAATAATTTAATAATCCGATTTAAAATAAATGTAAATTTTACGTACCATTTTATAACAATTCCATGTTTCATATGAAAAATTCTCTTTGGTCGGATGAATAACTGGATAACCCACTGAAGAAATGGATACATTACCAGAATTTAAAAAGCATCTATCCATTTTTGAATCTATTTAAATATTCTATTTATAATTTAAAATTCAATAGAACATATTTAAAATCAATTTTGAATTAGTTTCTAGTATAGATAAGAGAAGTGGAAGAGCGTTACCTTCTACAGCTTTAAACTTTCCTTTAATTATTACCGTTATCCTATTAATTAAAAATCAAGTAAATATTATCTTATTTATTACTTATAGTTTACATTTTAATACTTACATCACTAATAAGTAACATAGTTCCGTTCTGAATNGCCTCCCTTTTTTTTGCCCATAAGATAACGCGCCGCTGTCTGGCCTCGTTTGTCATTATCCAATTATTCCCGTCGCGGGCCTGGCCGAACCCACGAAGGATACGGAAAAAAAATCCCAAACTAAAAAAATTTTAATTTGTGTAATTAAATAGGATTCGACAGTAAATTAATATTAATTATAAATTATTAATAAGATAAGCGTAATTAATAAATTAATAAAACAAAATTGAAATTAAAAGAAAAAAAAATAATAATAATAATTTAAACATCATCCCCGATTTAATAATACGATGGTGGCGCTGTGATCGATAACAACAACAACAACAGACGATAGAACCGTCGACCTGAAACTGTAATCGGGTTGTTTTTCTCGATTATACGATAAAATATTGTCTTTGATACGTTCAAGAATGCAATATCAAGTAAGATAAAGGTTTAAAGTTTAAAAGATTTCAAAATTAGATAAGATCTATACATATTTGTTTTCATAAAAACATTCCTTTTTCTATTTTGATAACCCACACCTGTTATCTTTCATAAGATATATTATTTTTGATATTTTCCACATTAATATATAATTTAATATATTACACTGTTCTATTTTTGGTTTTATATGATGATATATTACTTTACCTTAATTTGTGTAATATTTATATTTTTGAACATTATTTTGACATTTGTTATTAAATAGGTTGTGTTAGGATCTGTATAATACTGTTCTACATGGTAGAAATCTTGCTTTTAGATCAATTTCTATATACAGAATGTAGTATAGTATACTGTGGTGTAGGTACTATTACACTTCCGAATGAGTCGGTTGTATCGGTAGACCGTAACAGCAGGGGCAAAAAAGTCAAAGGAACCGTACCTCTATGTGCGACCGTTGGCAGGATCGGCCTACTTCTGGCTTGCGCGCAATCGTTCTGCTAAGACTATGACATTTAACTATTTGGCCCGTGTGATCACACTGGTTTTGAGTAGCACAATTGACCGTTTGTGGACTACTCGACATTATATAGTTTTAAGGGGTGTGGGGCTTTGAGGATGTTGAGGTGCAAGCAGTAGCGAGCACCGAAGTCCGACACTGTGGAAAATATGCAGTGGTACTGGTAAAAACTGAATGCAAATATCTCGTAAAGGATCGCACGTGCAAGTACGGTTCTGTTGATTTTTTTGCTCGTACGGGGAGAGGTCTGTAACTCCAGGGTGGCGGTAAATCCCTCGTTCGGAGCTCGCATCTTATCGTAGTGTTTACTATAATATAGTGTAGACTTGCTATATATACAGTATACAGTATAATAGTGTGTGTATAATTATATATATATAAATAATAAGCACACTCCTTAATTACTTAAACCATCCAATCCAACAACATACAATAATTTGTTCAATATGCCATAGTCCTACAAAATAAATTGAACCAGTACACAAAAACAAGAAGATTCACAAAAGTGAAGATTCTCCCAGTAATATTTTATATGTACCAGTATATATTTTTAAGTAAGCTGTATATATATATATATATATATATACATTTTACCTAAAAATAACTTACATCACTCTATATTGACATTTGGTCATGTTTTATTGTTATAATAAATATATATAACTGTCAGAATCCCCGCTGTTGTGAATCTTCTCGGCTATATGCACCAGAACAATGTTTTGAAGGACGCATTAACATATTGAACAACACGTTATTGTGTGTTGTTGGATTGGACGGCTTAAGTAGTTAATGCATGTGTGTTAAACTTCAGTTCAATTCTATGAAGTTTTTGTCAGTAGTACGGCCTAAATATGGCCTGTCTCTTACCGTGCAGCTGCTCCATTGACAGCCTGGCTAAATCTATGACAGATGTAAATAAAACACCCTGATGTTGGGAAATGAGAAAGAATTTTAAAAAAATATGTTGCTGAGAAGTGATTGATGATATGTTACCTGTGTTTTCTGAACTCTCAGAAGATATTAACTTGCAAACAGAATCTAGAACTATATCTGTTGCTACGCAAACACTATCTTATTTCACTTACATGAAATATGATAGAACATATCAGATATAAAATACTTTAAATGATTTATAAAGGTATATAGCATCTGTACTGATGGTCTTGTTCTATTTATATTTGTTAAAGAAAAACATAGCTGTATTTTTAAAGGAAATGAAGAAGATATAACATCAGTAGAAGAGAGATTAAATTATAAAACAATTATATAATTAACTGGATTTTACTGTGATTATTTCTCAAGTAATTATGATTAATATTAAAAAATTAATATCAAACAGCCAGATTCTTTTATTGGTTACTTAAGGCTAATTAATTATTAAGTAATTTGGCTAGAGTGAAGTTAAAAATGAATTATTAAAGTTGATGTTAAGCAAAACAAATTGTATTGTTATTTTGATATTATTAATGAAATTCCATATGCAGTCATGAAGAAACTGAAAGTCGATTAATTATTCAAAATTAAGCTTTAAAATTATATTCATATGGGAAGTAGATTTGGACAGCATAATTTTTATGATTTATTTAAGTTAATCAAGAATTCTTTTATTATTATTATTATTATTTTTTATCTGAAAAGTTCTAATTTTGCTAAATCATTTTTATTATATGGGAAGTAGATTTGGACAGCATAATTTTTATGATTTATTTAAGTTAATCAAAAATTCTTTTATTATTATTATTATTTTCCATTATATTTATGACGTGTTTCAATTCGAAAATTCGGGATTTTAAACTGTTATATCAAGGATTTCTTTATTTCGCGATTGAATAGATGAATAAATAAGGTCAAAATGGATTTTTCTGAAAAGAAACGATTAAATTATTTTTAAAAAGTAGATTTAATATTATTCCTTTTAGTAAAATGCATGTGAAATTCTTTGAATATTTTTTTCAATCTAATTTTTCGATTTAAATGCGAAATTTTTTTAGATTTATTGAACTGAAATTATTTTGACTTCGTTATAATAAATATTTTAAATTCTACTTTTAAAAAAATTGTTTAAATTTGTTGCTAACTTTAAAAAAAAACACGNTTTGATTTTTAGTTTATTATTTAATTAAATTTTAAAATAATAAAAATAATATTTTTATTCGGTAAATTTTCTAATCTGTTCTCTTAAGCAACAGACTATCTATAAGAGAAATCGATTTATTAATTTGAAAATATTTGAATTGCTGGAAATGTTCATATCTATTCTAATTATAAGTCTAAAAAATACATTTTTGAATGTTAGAAGCATACAAAGGAGTTTTCTATAACAGAGTTTTGATGTTTCGAAGCATGCAAATCTATCTGCATGAAAGCACTTTTACTCAATAGATATATGTTATTTGTGCACTGAATTAGTGACTTTTCTGTAACATATAATTTATTAATGCATAAGAAAGAATGCAGTTTTAACAGGAATAGGAGTTTCAGAAGCATCTATTCAGTTAAAATGGGTGGAGTAGCATTTCCTCGATAAATATTCCTTTTCTTTCCTTTCTTATATAATACATAAAAGAATAAATTTTACAGATTCAATTTCCACAAACAGAGGAATAAAGCATGTCCTGCGTTGTCAAGTATAAGGTTATCTTTAAAAATAAAGAATGCTATTTAAATTATTTTTTTTTGCATAAACAATTTATTGAACTTGAAATGACGAAATTACAAAATGCATTTTTATGAAATGCAATTATGTAAAGCTCTACTCCATTTTATAGAAAACGTTTCTTGACATTAAAAAAACGCACCCAAATAATTCTAATTTTAAATTTATCTGAATTGAAAAATGTGTCTGATTGTCAAGAAGATACAATAAAATAGGAAAGCGTCAACCAATCCAAGCTTCGAGTGTAATCTGTTAGAATTTATAGCTACGGAGAAAGAAAACATGTTGTGTAAAATAATATTTATGACTGGGGAGTATATCCAAGGGTGTGAATACGTCAATGTTTTATCTAAAATGATAAAATATCTACTCGCACACCCTCTGGTCATCAATTTTAGAATAATTTGAAAAATTCTTGTTTGCCACGCATTTCTGTTTTGACGGCGTAATATTTTCTACGTGTAATTTAAATTTATATTGAGAAGTAATTCTAACATTGCAACCTAATATAGTAAAGAATTGCATTAAATTTTTAATGTGATCAAAAGTATTGACAATTTTTTTTTGGATTATTTCCAAAATTTGAAAACAAACTTTCTCTGTCCTTGTAAAATTGTGTAGGAGTGCATTGATAAAACCATACAAGTCAAACTACAATTGTGGATTTTTTTTTTTGTTTTATTCTTTTTTACCAGGTACAGTTTACCAAATACAAATATTGAAAACAGTAAAATTTAAATATTGTGTCAAATATCTATTTTTAGCCGTTTTAGGTAACGTTTTTTGTAATTTGTTATAACATTTTTATGTATCAACATGGCTGTATCAAGTTGTCCAATGTTAAAGTTAGTAACCTCCTAACCTAGATATTTCCTTCCTGACATATACACTGAATAATTTTTATTATACCTTACGCTATCATGACATACAGACATTATAAAATTTGACAATAAAGGCAAAATAATTTTGATTTTCGTTAATTTTATTCACTTGTAAAGGATGTAAGATTTTCTCATGCATGTTAAATGCTTCAGTGAGGTGTAGAATAATTTATTACCATCTTTTTATTTTTTTTTTATGATAATGCTATGAAGTGACAACTCACTCTTGAGGATATCATTCAAAATTAACTAATCGCTGTGAGGATTTATGTTTTTATCATGGAAACTATACATTATAGAGTTTATTGACATTAAGCAATAAATTTTCTACATAAACAGTATTGTTTTAAATATTCAAAACATGTTTGGTCGGTCAGTATCGGCTTCATCTCGTTCCTAACTATGCTCTGATTTTTTCCAGGTCTTCGGCAGTTTAAAAAGGAAAAAATTTGCTCATGTATTTATAATTTAAGATGCATAAAAATGGTACATAATGTCAATTAAAACATAAGCATAAGGTTTATAAACTGGAAGTCATTCATGCTTCCCATTCCAGATTGCATTTTAATTTGAAGTTTGATTGATACATACCAGATAGTTACGTAAGGTGACCGACGTTTGATTTATAGACTCTGGCATGGAACAAAAGTTAAGTAGGTTGTAATATGAAATAAATAAAAGATGCTATGCCGTAGTTTAAATTCGTAAGAATAGAAACAACATTCTACTTGACTCATTTCCGACTGTCATCATTCATCATCGTGCTCTTTCAAACAGAACGCACCAAAATAACCATCAAGGGTAGGAGCTGATAGACCTTGAAAAGTTACAATTATTTCTCAATTTAAATATACATTTTTTTCCATACGAAAAGCATTCAAATTATTTAAAATAATTCCATTAAGATTTTTGTATATCGAATGTTGATTCCGTAAGCGT